GCCCCCTGCGATGCTGTTTTGGGCAGCCTGCACAGGACTGGTGCGGCTGTGCTGGCGTCGGGTGTCTGCTCAGCTTTGCTGAGGTATTTAAACTTAGCAAAGTGGCTTTTTTTAGGTCCATATGCATAGATCAGGTGGTCACCTGTGGCAATATGTTCATTCACAGATCCTAGCTGCTTTCAGGGACTGGCCTTCTCTAAACATAATTAGGGCTATTTAAATAGCTGCTCACAATTACCTCTCGGTTCACACAAAACTCCATGAACTCCCTCATTGAGCAATAACTCTGGGCAACATAAGGGTGAAAAGCCACAGGGGCCTTGCTGCTGAATGCCTCAAAGATTTGTATCATCCTACTGTAAATGGATGTTTACTTTCAAAGAGCTGCCACCACATCTACTGTGCCAGTATGTCAGTTTTCAGACCAGGAGCTTTACCAGGCACTTTGACAGTTGTTCCCACCCATCAGCCTCCCTTGTCCTTGCCCATAGTTATTAGGCTGGAGGCAGATGTAGTAAAGCCTGATTCAGGGATGGGCTTTTGTCCTTCTGCCCACCCTAAATAATTTAATTTCTGGGATTCTGTCGCACTGAATGTGCCTGTGAGAGTGTCAGCAGAGCCCGGCCCTAGGCCCAGCCCCAGCGGGTGCTGAGCTATCAGGTCATCTGGAGCACTCATCTCATTTTCAGCACAGTGCAATTTTCTCCACAGCAATGATATTATCTTTGCCATCAGCTCCTGGCATGCAGTGGCTCACACACACCATTAGCAGGTGGCAGAAGACATACATGGAATTTGCTCTCAGAACATTTCTTCCGTTCTTCCTCCCAGACTGATGAAGTGCAAGTTAAAGCTAAAGGCATATACTGACTACAGTCCATTCCCAAACAGGGCCCCGGAGAGTTAAACATGGGCTCTGGGAGAAAACTCTCACATCTGCCAGTCTCTCTGCCAAGGTTTAGTTCCTCAGCATGCAGCCTTGGAATGTGGGGAGTGCAATTCTGTGGGGTCAAACTCCCGGTGCCCTCGTGGCAGCTCCTTTGGGATCAGCTGGCAACAAGCAGCAGGGAGGCAAGAGACGTCAGTGCAGTCTCTGCAGGTAGCTGAGGTGCCCATCCATGGCCCCAGCAAGCTGCTGGCAGCTTAGCAGAGCTCTGGGCACTGGTGTAGACCAAGATGAACATACAAATTTACTACTGAAGCCGGACAGCTGTGTGCACCTGGGCACACCTGCCACTGGAAAACTGCACAGTAGAGGCACTTTTGTGCCAACCACGAAATTAATTTCATTAGAAAAATATTTTGCCTAAAGCCCACTAAAGAATGCAGCCCCAGAAAACTCACTTGCTTTGGTACAGGGCTGAGATGAAACTCTGCAGCAGGGACTGAGCACTGGCCCCTGGCGTGAGCACTGCTGGCTGCACGGACAAGGGATGTCCTGGCAACACAGGGCAGGAGGAGAGAAAAGGCTCTGGGAGAAACGGGGTTTGTTACAGTTTTGTTCTACGGGGGGGAAAAAGAATTTGTCACCTGTCTAAGAAAGCAAACTATGTTGGATCCTACATTTCCTACCTAACTCCATGGAACAGCTTCTGTTGAGTGCTGTCAACTCTTCAGAGCTCTCTTATGTTTCTTTTGAAGTTCAAAGTCAAAAGAAACTCAGCTACTTTGAGTTGGTGGGATCTATTTGCCCTTTCCTTCCCTTGAAGCAAACACAACCAGTAAAATTCCCTGGCATAATTCTCTCCTTCCTGAAGTTTCTTTCCTCCATTGCCCTCCTCCATATAATCAAACCCCTTTTCACACATGGGTGAACCTGGAAAATCATTTAGAGTGGGAACCATGTGAACCACTTCAGTGAACATCAGGTAATTGTGTCTTACAGGCCTTTTGGAAGGTCAAATCTTTCTGTGTAATTTTTCCAGCTACTTTCTCCGTGAACTGAAGCCCACTGGCTCTGGGTGAAGAACAAGGTGGCTTTGCACAAGCCTCCCACTCCCTGTCCCCATGGATCACCCACCCCAAATCTCTGCATGATTCCTTTGATGTTTTCTTTCCAATACACCCATCTCCACGTCACCTGCTTGTGCAAGGTTTGTATTGCTCACCCTTGGCCTGGGAATGGCTGAGGTTTCCAAGATCTGAACTTTTCAAAAAAAAACCCTGACTTTTCACTTGCATCAGGATATGAAAAACAGCTTAAAAATCATGAGACACACAGACAGACACACAGACAGACCACCAGAGTGCTGAACCTGCCTGTCTGTGGTTGCTCCCCATCTGTTTCTCCTGTGCCAACTGTTCCAGATGAGCTGCAGCTTTCCCTTCCCAGCATCACAAATTCAGGTGTTACTCCTAACAAACAATAAACTTTGGTTTGTTAACTTTGATAATAAACAAGAAATTAAAATATTAACTTAAATGAACTGACAAGAGTTACAGCCACAAGATGGTCACATAATCCCTTTCATTCAAAACTAGACAAAGAACATCAAACAATAATAAACTTTATGTTCTTCTTTAGTAATGCAATTTCAACTACAGAAGTAAATAAATTTGGTTTATACTAGGAATGGAATCACAGAGGGACTTATCTAGATAAAATTTCTATTTTAGGAGATTTTTAAATTTCATAAACTGTTCTTGTTTTCTGAAAAACAACCCAGAATGGAGAACAGAACAATGCCACTTAGGCTGTCTATTAATTAAAGCAAAGTCTTTTTTCAAACACAAACCTGGCAAACAAGGCCCCGGTTTGTCCTCTTGGGAAAGCAAGACCGGTCAGTAACAGCGTGGTGAGTTCCCAATCCCAGATTCCTTTCTGCTGCTCCAGACACTGCCCAGCTTCCTTCAAGTTTGCCTGCACAGGGTTCCGTTCCTGAGGCTGCAGGAGCACCCCTGGGCTCCGACACAGCCATGGCACAGCCTCAACACGACAGCAGCTGTGGTCAGACACGTGCAGAAAGGAGTGTAAGGAGACACGAGTGGCTGGAATTTTAATTAGGGAAAATATAAAAAGTGACAAATCTATCTGAGAAAGAGACTGTTGTGCAATGCTGGTGCATCAGTGCCGATCCCCAGAGCTGCACCCAGAGCGCCTCGGCGGAGCCCAGCGCTGTGCCCGGTGCCAGCACCGCCCACCCAGAGCTCAGCAGCGCATCCCACGGTGCCCTGCACCTCAGCTGCCCACAAATCCCTGTGGGCTCCATCCCCATAGGGGCTCTGGGGACGTGGAACTGTCCCCCTCGTTCTCCCCCCACTCCTCCAGCACGGCAGCACACGAGCCTTGCACCGACCCGCTGCGCTGCCCTGGAGCTCCACACAACCCCACTCCCTGCTTCGGGCTCGCTGTGCTCAGCAGCAGCCACAGAGGAACAGAAATCATGACACTTCCTGATGTGCTGCTCCTTTCTGCATGGGTAAAGACCCACTGTCTGACATACTGTACTTGCTTCCCCTTGTGCCTGCTTTGATTCCTTGATGCAAGTCAAGATCCACTCAAACTGCATCTTGTGTTTGGAGTGAAATACTTCATAACCTGCACACGGAGATCTGTTTTGAATAAATACGAAATTCTGTAATTGGGAAAAAACACAGACCAAACCATTCCAGTATTCTCACACTACAAACACATAGTTTGTCCTCATTTATTGCAGTCTAAAGCTATAAAATACAGGGTATAACAACATTTATAGAACATGTGCACAGCATTTGTTACAGTGTCCTTTAAAGTCAGCTACGTGTCATAACCTCTGACAACTGTGTGTAGTTGCAAACTGTAGGAAATAACACAATTTGAAAAATGCTGGGAATAAGACACTCTGGATCAGCACTGTCTAAAAACCATGGTCTCGAGACACCAGATCTCAGCCCCCGTCCCTCCCTCCCTCCCCCAGGATACACCAATTTTGTACTTTCCTTGGCAGTTTGGGGTCACAATGCGGCCTCAGCTGGGAGAGGTCCAGGGGCATCTCTGCCAGGCTGCAGGGAGATGAGGGAGGACCCTTGGGGGACCCTGGGATTGGGGTGGCTCTGGCATTCAGCAGGGATGGACCTCTCCTGCTCCCTCTGGGAATCCTGAACTGGCACCATCTGGCACACATGTGTTCCCTGTACAAGCATGGATATCCTTAATGAATGACATGATGATTTCTCCATTCAGGGCAGATGCCAGGAGTCCTTTTTAATATCAGCAACGTTTAACTCATGATTTTGGCTGCTCCTCATGGAAAGAGCACAAAGGAACAGGTTCCAGTGGGAGAACAGCAGCAGACCCCCCAGAACAATGGCTGACCAGAGACCCAGCTCAGACTGCAGAGTATTAATTAGGATTAAAGGGAAGTAACAGGCTTAGTATAATATGACAGCTGTGCCAGAGAATGCCACATTTTCTATCTGCATTCCCTACTGTCAGATCTCCATGCTATATTTTGAGTATTTGCCAAATCACACTGGTTGCAGAACCCCCCCGTTTCTGGAAGTCACTGCAGAGGGGCAGAATTATCTATATTGAGCCCATCAAATCCCCATGTTAATCCTCGCTCCCTCTTTGCTTTAGTACCCTGCTGACAACTTTCACCTGGTGTATCCCACAGTGGGTCTGGATGCTGAAGAGTGCAGCCCTGACCATGCTTTCCCCAGAAGGATTAATGGCCAGGCCTGTGGTTTGTTTTCCATTTAATTCCTTCTTCCTTTCCCCAAGTGTGGGTTTCCTTATAATACAGGCTATAAAAAGCACTCCAACCAGAAAACAGCAGACCTGAAAGGGAAAGGAAATAATAAATCAAATGGCAGAAGGTAGAAAAGAAGGTATGGGGTAACATTGGCAGTGCACTTTGCCCAGAATTTCAGGCACATCTGTGCTTGCTTGAGGTTATGAAGGTACATTTGAAAAAGCAAGCAGTGGGTTTATGGATGACAGAGCCAAACCACAGCAGCCCCATTGCCAGACTGAGACAGAGCCCTCTCACCTGTCAGAGAGCACGGGGGGCTGCAGCGCTCCCCACCTTCCCCAGAGCACCCCTGGGACACTCCTCCAACAGCACCTTGTGGGCAGCTCAGCCCCGTGGGCTCGGGAGCTGCCAGCCATGAGGGGGTCCCTCGTGGGATAGCGTTGCACCACTGGTGTTTGACACATGCCACAGGGAGGAAAGCCAGTGGAGGGAGATCACTGGGAGATCAGGGCTGACTCAGAGCCCTCTCCTTGCAGGACATACAGGGAGCAAACCCTGTGGTGTCACATAACACGGATCAAAGTGATGTTCCCCACTATGGAGGTGTCCACTAACCATCAGGGATGCTTTTCTTAAAGCTGGAAAGGTATGAAGAGGAGCACAGGTGAGGAGAAGGGAAGAAATACCTTTCAAAGAAAGCTTCAGGGCTGAGGGGGTTGTGAAATGCCCAAACTCAGCCCTGGTCAGTGCACAAGGGAACAGCACTCTGGAAAGGCAAAGAGAAAAGGTTCAGCAGCACCTCTGAGCAGTGGAAGAGCTGCCCTACCCCTACCGGGGACAGACAGCAGCACAGGCAGTAAACTCCTGTCCTCATCCCTCTCAACAGAGAGGAAAAGGAAAAAAAGAAACCAGAAAAAAATCAGGGAAAAGGCACTTTCCCAGGAGCAAGGAGCAGCTGTGGAGCAGGTTTAGGGCTACAGCACAGAGAGTTTCTCTTTGCTTGCAAAGCTGTTTGCAAGTCCTGAGTGTTTTAAACTCCCACTGGACTTAAAAGTCCCCAGAGGTTGAGTGTGACAGTAACAAGCAGCCAAAGCTCCTTGTTTCATGGTGACTGAACTCATCCCTTTCTAAACTCCCCTAGGAAAGGACTGTAGGGCCCTGTGGGGGATGTGGACTCTCCCTGCCCAGCCGTGTCCATAGGCAGATCGACCTCTGCCACCTGCTCACACAAGTCCCACGTTCCTGCCAGAAGAAGGGAGTCCCTGCAAGGGCACACACAGTGGGCAGGAGCACCGGGCACCAAGATGCTCCACCCTCCTCGGCCACCTGGTCTCGGGCTCTCATGGGCACACAGAGGCCTTGGCATCATCCCTGCAGGGCATGATGGGCAGAGTGACCCCAGCACCCATGTGTACCAAACAACACAAGGTAGTGAGGGGAGGCAGAGACATGCAGGACAGAAGGGGACACAACAGGAAGGGTGATGAGAGAAATCATTTCAGAGCTGGCGCTCATTTTGTAGAATCTGGCTGTTAAACAAAGAACCACAGTGTTTTTAAAATTCTCAGTGACTTATTAAGTCATCCTCCTGCCAACTGGATTCCTTCAGCTGGCTAGACAATCTGACACCTCCTCTTAGAAAAGAATCTACCAACATGAGCAGCTCAGTGTGACAGCATAAGGAACCACCCCTGAGCTGTGCTCTCTGGTAAAGCAGGCACTGCAGCTGGGAACAGAGCCCCTTTTTGGAATACCTCTGTACAAGCATGGGAAGGGCCTTGACATCCTCTTTTACTGCAAAACCTGGAGACTCTGGCTGTGCCCATCATACCAAGGGGTGGTAGGGTATGTGCCTCTCCTCCAACACCCCCAGCTGAACATTCTTGCTTTTCCTTTAGAACCAGCAGCTCAAGTTTCAGCATCCCCTCAGGACACTGAAGGGCCCGGGGACAAAGAGCACCTTTTGAAGGCTCTCTCTGTGCCTGTTACTCTGTGCCATATTTCTCAACTCTGATAAACTCCAGCTGACTTACTCTGATCCAAACCTTTTGTGATATCTTTCTGCAAGCAAAGAACTACTTAAGTGCTACCCCTGAGGAAATACCAGCATAATGTTTCACATCTGCCTCATTTTGACACTAATGAAGGTTATTTTTTGTATTATATCATTACAGCGTTTTTTCTGTCAGTAGCAGTTATAATTCTATTTACTAGCTACTGCAGTTACCACTTGGAATGCATTTTTCTTTGGAAGCAGCAAAACCCTCTGGATATTTTACATGAAAGAAACACTAATGTGATTTTGTCAAACAATACAAAAGCCATTTTGTGGGGTTTTGGATTTGCCCAAGTCCTGAATATTGCTTGATACTACTGCAGAGTACAGGAGATATTAACAGCTGTGCCTTGGCACTGGCCCTAGCAGGCTGGGCCAAGGTCACGGCTGGCAGCCCCAGACTGCCCGTCAGCACCACGCTGACCCTGCACTGAACCGCGCTCCCACTGCCACACAACATTAATTCTGACATAGCCATGAGAATGAACAATTTTCCAATGACAGAACGGGCTCAGATTGGTGATCTCAGACAGGCAGGCTCCAGCCAGGTGACAGTCGACCCTGTTATAGTCGTGTGAGCACAAAGGAACTCGTCAGTCGTTCTTCTGACGTAGGACAGGGCCGTAATGGGGCTCTGACTCCATGGCATTGCCAAAAAATCCCTGTACTAATGTGTTACTCATTCCAATGCAGACTCTAAGGCTAACCACAGTAGAGAGAGAAACAGCTGAGGACACAAAACACCAGAATAATTTTAAGCATTCACCACTAAAATACAGTAAATATTAAAAATGCCGTCAGCATTTGTGCCAAGGTCCAGAGTATCCCTCCTGGATTTAGGTTTTGTTCTACATTTCATGCTGAGTTCAACAACAAATATTCAGTCACAAGAATTTAATTTGAAAGTTCAGCACTTTTTAAGGCCCCTCAAAGAGAATTTAAAATTACTCTCCCAAGCAAAGGGCCTTTCCCAGCACCCAGAGTGTGGAGGAGTCACCACAGAGCCTGCCTGTAACAAGTGGGTCACGAGAGAATGAATCCATGAAGAAGCCAAAAAGCCAGAAGACTGAGGTTTGGTGTGGAGCTGCGCCAGCTGTTCTCACCCAGCGTGGACCCAGTCCAGTCCAGATCAGCCACAGCTCCTCTGGCTCTGGCAGGACCTCTCTGTCAGCCAGGCACAGGGTGACACTCACTCAGAGCCTTCACGTGGCGACATCCAGCAGGGCCAGAGACTGCTCCAGCTGCAGGGACAGCTGCTCTGCTCCTGAGGAACTTCCCAGCTCCCCTGTACAGTGGCTGCAATCCCCTTCCATACACCCCAGGCAGGGGAGATGTCCGAGCTCAGCAGGTCCCGAAGCACTTCATCATCAGTTCTATTTGTTCATTAGTGCTCCCCAGCCCCAGAATGCAGCAGCACTTCACTTCCAGGTGGCCCACCAAGAGCAGGCACTGGTTTGAGTGGGACACGGGATGTGGGCACTGCCACAGATGGGACATGGGCACGTGGGATGTGGGCACCACTGCAGATAGGACACGGGCACTGCTGTGGTGGGACATGGGCACGTGCCCATAGCTTCCTCAGTAATTGTACAGACCTTCAAGACCAGGACTTCTCATCCAAAACACCAAACTGCAAATCCCCACACTTTCCTGCAGTAGCTAAATCTGTTCATTATTATCAGAGCAATATGCTTCAGAATCCAAAAGTCCAGCTCCTTCCTCCCCCACTGCAGAGTTCATGTGACACCAGCAACACCCAGGTCCAGTGACTCCACTGCATCACTCACCTCACACCACAGCCACACTCCCAGGGCTGGCAAAGCAGCCTCTGAGGGCTGGAGAGCATTGTCAGTCACAAAGGTGAGTGCATCTGTCTCACAGGTTTGCTGACCCCCTGAAATTGCAGTGCAGGTTGCCAGCTGAAAAGAGTGAAGAAATGAAACTCATTAAACCTTTTGAAGTGAGGAACACTCGCATTTTAAAACACTGATACGTGTATTATCAGCCAGAGAAGCTCCTGTCTCTTCTAGAACGTGCTGCTGCTGACAAGACCTTAACTTGTCAGCTGGTATATTGCTACTAACACCTGAGACAGCAAACAAGAGCTAATCCTTACACCGTTCTTGTGCTAATGACTGCAAGAGATAACTGGTGTCCCTGGCAAGTGTCCCATTTAATTCAATTAACTCCAGCCAGGCCCTGGTGATTGCACTGGCAGTGCCAGAGAAAGCCAGAAGCCAGATCTGGAGTCAGATGGTAAAGCCAAGGCAGTCTCCACCATCCCTGTGATGAAGACTCGGTTGTGCCTGGGCCCCGCCGGTGCAGCCCTGGAGCTCAGTGCCATCACCACACAGCTCACTGCAGCTGCTCGCTCTGCTCTCCTCCTCCCTTCTTCCTACACTTGCTGCAGGCACGAAATGTTCCCAAGCTCCTGCAGCCATCCCTGGGGCATGCCAAGTCCATATGCTGCTGTCCCTTTCACACATTTCCAAAGGGCCAAAAATTCACTCTTTGGAGACACACTTCTCTGTGCACAGTCCATTCAGCAGAAGGAACAAACCTGGCCAAGAGAAACGCAAAAATGCATCATTGCTTAGCAAGATTTCACCTGACACCCAGAGATATCAAGTATATTATTTTGGGGTAAAGTAATATAACCAGTCCTATTTCCAATGTAACATGCCTCACTTTTTCTTAAATAAAATCCTTTTGTACTCATTTGCTTTTAAACTCCCAATTTGCCAGGAATAAAAATGTGTATTATGTATATTATGCTACAGACCTTTTACTGTATGTATTATACTACCTACATTACATACCTCTATATTATACTACAGACATCTGCTCCCTCCACCATTTCTATCAGCGTTCTGGGCTATGACCAGAGTACTGCAGTTTTATTCTAAAACTCACTCCTGTAGATCACGAGCCATCAGGTTTCTGAATTCAAAGTCCACAGGTCACAGCTGTCATTGCCTACCCCAGGCAGCTGACAATGCTGGGCACATTTGCTCTGTCCTGGCATTCAGAGGGGACTGTGACATTCTGCTGTTGCTGCCAGTGGGCAGATGGGCCTGGGGACCTGGAACCTCCTTCTGAGGGCTGCCTGGGTCCACTGGCCTTCAGGCCCAGATCCATGGATGGATCAGGCTCCATCCTCAAGGAGAGCGTCACCATGGGGACTGAGGCTTTGCTTACAGCTGTCTGCAAAATACAGACCCTGACCAGCACGGATTTTAAATACTAGATTTTTTTGACTGATGCTCCCAACTGATGGTAAGTTCATGTTTCAAGGTAATATCACATTCAACAGTGTGACAAATGATTGTGACAAATGATGTGACAAATTTAAGTATCAAGAAAATCCTTGCCTTCGTTAAGTCCTGTCTGCAGAGTCCCCACATGCAGGAAGATGTCCGACAGCTCTGTGGGATGCCAAGATCCTGGGATAAGCAGTGTCAAGAATCGCACTCCGGGTGAAAGCTCAGACCTTGGACTAGAAACATCTTCTGAGCAGCAGCAATTGCAGCTCACATCACAACATTCCTGACAGCAACAGCTGAAGATCCCTGTTGCAAAGTGAGTGAACATTATAGTGTGAAGCTGAACACTTATACTCATGACTACAGCAGCCTCATGTGGCTCATCCCTCTCCCTGTCCCCTAATGTATGTGAATTATCCTCCCAAATAGCTACTTTTCTACCAATAATATGCACACTTTTCCAAAGGCAAAGTGGAAATCCCTGCAAGTATTTCTGGTGCTGCTCCCAGTCAGAAATAACAGTAATCTGATCCACGAGCAAATTCCATTTCTGTTGCTGAATTCTTTTGCACAAGTATCTTTGCTTTGAAAATGTTTGGCAACAGTGAAGCACAGGTTAATTTTACTTATAAGGTGTGAATCAAAGAACATTTGCAAGTTTCTGAGTCACAGAAAGGAAGCATCTGTGGCCTCTCTCACCACTTCTTTCAAGAGAAAACATTACAGTTCAGCTATTTTAGATGCAACGTCATACCTGCTCACTGCACCCCGCAGATCCCCATTTCCCACCCCCTTCGAGCTCTCCCCAGGCACAGCAATGGGGACAATTTCAGAGTCTTCTTCCAGGACCTGAGGAACTTCCAGCCTTACTCAAACCTGCTGCATCAGGTGGGCTTGCATTACCATGGGCAAGGTTTAGGCTGCAGCGTGAGAGAGTTGAATAAATTATTAATTTGGGAGAATCCAGCAGGTGCTTTGTGAAAGAAAGGGGTGACCAAGGAAAAGGTAAGCTACTCCTCACATTGTGCAGTGCCAGAAGCCCTGGGAAGCCGAGGGACTACGATACAAACACTGCTGCAGTAACAGCAAACTTCCAGAGACTGCCTCCAGCATGACCCTGCTGCCACATAACGAAGGCCTACAATCAACCAACTCCTTCTGTGCTCCGGCACTGCCAAGCTCCCACTCGAGGCCTGAGGATGGGGACAGCTCTGCCACACTGCCTGCAGCAGTCCCAGGGAGCACACACAGATGTTCAGCTCTGCTTCCTCCAGTCCCAGAGATTTCATGGCCCCTGAGACGCAGCTCATGGCCACGTTCAGCCAGCAGCTCAGCCACCAGGGCCACTGGCTAAACCCCAGCCAAGGGAGTTCATTCTGCCCCAGCGATGGGGTGTGTTCACAGCCCTCAGCAACCCCGCACGGCTCCCCAGTGTTGGGTGCAAGCACTCCCCTCATGTTTTATCTCTTCATTAACTGCTCACGACAGACTTGATCTCCTCCAGCTCTGCAGGGACATGCCAAGGGCACTTTTCAACATGTCATTCCACTGTCTGTCACCACTCCCTGATCTCCAGCCCCAACAGACCATTTCGCTGCCCTGTCCCAGACTGGGAGTGACAACACCATCTTCTGCCTTAAAACAGGTCACCAGAGTTTACTGACAACAGGCATGTTAGCCTATTGTCAGCATCACAACACAGCAATGTCAGCAGGACTGGAGGGTCCTTCACTTCCCAGCAGTCTCTATATTCAATCTGTCCATTGAATATATGAGTAAACTCTCCAAAAAAATCTGTATGGGGCACGCTTATCTGACTTAATTATTTCTTTACATTGCTGCTCTCAGCCTGATCCAGCAGCAACATGGTAGATCACAGCTATTGTCAAACCAAATTCTTCCCTGACAGTCTGTGGAGACATATATTTGCCATCTGCAATCTATTCTTTGGTTTCTGGCACGTATTTTCAGTGCTTTCTTTTGAAAGCTGTTTCAGATTTCTCTGGGCTTCTCTCTAACCTCTGCCAGCAAAGCCTCACACAGTTTAATTGTTGACAGCTGTGTCAGGAGAAGCATTTTACGTTTCTTTTGGTGTTCCTCTTGCTGCAGCACACCAGCTGCTACAAGAAGGGCTGCCTGGCTGTGTAACGCACACCAAGATGTGGAAAGCTGACCATGTGTTCTGAGAAGGGGATTTGGGGGGCTTGTGATGTTTATCGAAGATAACTGCAGCTCCACAGGTGAAAACACAGAGAAGTAAAAGGCAGTTAAGCAAACAGGTGTGAAGCTAGAAGTAGTGCGTTGAATAAAAGTGAATCTATCCTCCTTTCCAGGAGCTTGCATTTCAGTTTCATGGTAAAGGAAAATCCAGTTAAAAAAAAAAAAAAAAAAGAAAGAAAAGAAAATCACTGCTGATTTTTTTTTTTCCCAGGCAAAAGGCAGGAAATGCTGGGGACTATACTGTTCTCCCTTTTCTGCCAGGCTGAACTCAAATCTGAAACATCTGTTCACATAACTTGAGGCAAGCTCTTGCAGTCAAGTAACATAAGCACAAACTCTTTCTGCCGTCAGTGCAGAACTATCAGTGAGGCTTTTTGTGGAAGCCTAAGGATCCAGATACTTCTGATGTGCCTTGAAAGCACTGGATAATGTGTTTTCACTACCAGCAGAGAAAAATTAGCGCCTTTTCCATATATTCTAAATCCTGAAATCTGTTTTTCTAGACCCACACTGTACACATTGTCTTTCAGGAGCTATTCAACCTGGGTAGTACCAGCTATACATAACAGTATCTCACCCAGCACAGTGAGGCTTAATTCAGCTGATTGCAAAGACAAAGGGCAGGGGAAAATACCCAGTTTTCAACATCGCATTACAGACTGCTTTGGGCTGGAAGAGATCCTTAAAAATCATCTTGTCCACCACCCCAAACCATTACTGGGGACACTTTCCACTAGCCCAGGTTGCTCCAAGCCCCATCCCACCTGGCCTCAAACACTTCCAGGAATGGGGCAGCCACAGCTGCTTTGGACAACCCACTCCACTGTTTCAGCACAACCTGCAAAGCAGAGGGTAGGATTTTAGTGGAAATATCGAGGCCCAAATTTGATTTGCAGAACTCTCACATGGCCATGGGTTCAGAGCTCACCTCCCTCGCTGCCTCCCCAAGCTTGGAGAAGACAGACCTGGGGCTTGTGCAGGGCTCAGTTCCCACAGAAGTGCCTGTGCACGCGTACCTACAGAGGAAACACATCTCTGCCTGTACAATACAGGCAGTTCAGAAACAGAGCAGTGGCAAACCACGCAAAAAGCCACAGAACTATGTGTTATCCAGACCCCATCCCTGCTCCAGCAGCCCTCCAAGAACTCTCTACATTCAATACATTTTGGAGCACGAACCCCATCCTGTCAGAGAAACAGACTGGAAATCAGGGCTCGCTCCCAGTTCTGCTCCCAATTCTCTGTGTGTGTGTCCAAGTGACTTTGTTTTCCTGCTGCTTTCTCCAGCCTCCTGCCTGCTGTGCCATGATGGCCAAGTGTGGACTGTCTCCAGCTACAGACCTGTGCAGTGTCCCAGGCAGGGAACTAGACTGGAACTGGAGGGCTCTGAAAGCCATAGAGAGGAAAAAAAAAAAATACCTGGAGTCCATGGTACCCAGTGGCTTTTCTGTGCAGCAGAGGAATGCTATCCCAGTTATTTTTGCCTTCTCCCCGCACAGCAGTAGATGGAGCCCTACTTCCCTGCTCTCGGCAGCCAGGGACACAGCAGTACCACAGATCCCAGCTGTACTTACTCTGTCAGCACCGGCCAGCGCTGCTGTAGCGACAGACTCGGGGCGCCACACAGGAGGGACCTCAGGCTGTGTGTCCTGCCTGACACGTGAAATTCCCTGAAACTTGTGAACGACAAAAGTTTCGACTAACCTCAGCATTGCCTTTCCTTCCATTTAGGCACTGGGTAACGTTTTTCCTTTCTTTTGTAAACTCTCACCAGGATTATACGAAATTCAGGAGGCCCTTTTCTTTTGCAAAATAAGGAACGACAAGTTTTCTTGCTATACCTAGAGAGAACACATAAAAGTTGTATCGTGGCTGTGAGCACTCCAGACTACATTATCTAGAGGATTTTACAAGAACTAAAAGTCAATAGATCCAAGGCCAGCTTCTCAACCATTCTTGCAGCCTGTGTGTGACAGCAGGACAGAGGAGGGACGAGAGAACTCTGATAGCCATATGTCTCTCTGAAAGCTGGGAAAGATTACAAACATGCATGTTGGTTTTCTCTTCCCTCACACCTCCATGCGCTCCTTCCAGTGACTCCAGCAGGGCCCTGCACGGATGCAGGCAGCCTTCTGGTCATGTACCACCGTCAACGTAGAGATTACAGTGCCCTTAAGACAGGTCAGCCAGGTCTTCCGCAACAACAGCTGACAAATGGAATACTTCAGAGCAGTGAGAGCAAAATTAGGCTGCTCTCTCTTTTTCTGAATTTTTTAGGAGCTTGGGTTTTGGTTTTCTTTGGTTGGTTGGTTGGTTGGTTGGTTGGTTTGAAAATGCACCATACATATCCTGCTTCATCCCTCTGCGCATCCAAGTGCAGACTTGACTTTAAAGAGCAATCTGTCCTGTCAGGGAACACTGTCCTCAAAACCAGTGTACAACCTGTTGTTCTCTGGAAACATGTACTGCTAAACAAGCAATACATTTTGACTTGTTTTAGAGTCTCTGAAAGAGACCATGTTATGCAAGTAGGAAAACCAAGAATATTGTAGAGTTACGCAAGATGCTGGAGATGATATTTGCCAGCAAGGTAACTCAATATACATCTATTCTGGCACTCAATAATTAAAGAGAGGCCCCCAGCAGTGAATCACAGGGTGATTTGCTCACAGCAGCAGCTCTTCACACCAGAGAGGGGCCAGCACCTGCAGCCAGGCACCAGCAACCATGCACGGACCTCATCCGCACAGTGCAGCTCCAAAACAGGAGCGGCAGTGCTTTCAGCAGAACTGATAGCTCATTTCCCCAAAGAGAAATCACCAGAAGAAGGGAGATTAGACACCTATCCCTGAAGACGGGGGTTTCCTACTGATTAGCCTAGTAATGACTGACTTTCTAGATTCAAGACCTTACCCTGCCTCCGATCCTGCCCAGACAAAATGGTCTGTTCAGACAGGATTCATGCCTCAGCCCTAACAGAGTAAAAATCTAGGTAAGGACTTTGGCATTTGGTCCTTAATGAATAGAAGCCAACAGCTGACAAATTAAATAATTCACAGAAGTGAAAATTAAACAGTCCTGCAGTCACGAGTGTTGGCATATGGAAACCTGCCACTAAGCTAATAATAGAAGTGTCTACTGCAGCAGAGAGGGAGGTCCCGCCATCCCAGAGCAGCCACACATCTGGGCACTGGGAACACAGCCATCAGCAACCTATGTTTAAGTAGCACATTCTTGCTACCTTCCTGCCAGCTGCTCATCTTCTGTTACCACAGGCCGAGGGCAGCAGCCCACAAGCAATAATGTGGCACTGGGCAATAATGTGAGTTTGGGCTCTGCCCACCAGGCTCCCAGTTTGGCAGACACGCTTCCTGCAGCCAAAGGCACCAAGGAGGTGCCTCACCAGTACCCTGCCTGTCTGGGTACACCTGCTTTACTCATTTCAACAAAAAATGGACAACTGGTTCACTTGTCACACACCTGCATTTGTATATCCTGGACACCAGCCACCTTCTCTGCTCCTTCAGGTATCTTTGAAGAGCATAAAGCCACTTGGGGACGAGACTTCCTGGCTCACTCCAGCCTGTGGTGTGCTTTCCTTGGGCACAGCAGAGTCACACTGCTGAAGAATGGGAGGAGGAGCAGGGTCACGAGGTGGAAGATGAACCAACACACAGGTATCACTCACAACAAGAGAATGAGAATGATTTCAAGGCAGGTGGATATGCAGCTTGCACAAGATATTCACCCATTAATGAATGACAGAGGAAAGTTAGTCAGGATGGTGGATGTAGCCAGGCAGCAGCCAGGCTACTCACCTTCAGCTGCCTGCAAAAGAGAGCCCAGGCAGGGATGGGAAAACCAAAGCATGGGGTGTACTACAGAAGCCTACAGCAGCAAGATTACGTGTGTATTATATGGCCACAGTAAGAGAAACACACTTGTGAAACACTCATCACCCACATGTGCAGCACTCCTGAAGGAAAGCTGATTCCTCCGGAGGAGGAGGATTCTCAGCACTTCCCCAAAGAGTGTCCTCCACTCTGTAGCCAGAGAGCTGACAAGATATAATGGGCACTGAAGAGCAGAAGTGAGATAAAGCACTAAAGAGAAGAGGGAGGTAAAATGCTGGAGAGGAGATATGCATGAGTGCACAAACACACAGAGGAACAAGCTCTAGTATAAAGAATGGGCAAGCTCTGCCAATTCCAGCACTGGCTCACTGCTTCTCTTCCTGAAGGACCTGCCCCATGTACTTGAGGAGACTTTCAAGGTATCAAGCAGTAGAAAACTATATCGCTGCTGAGCAAGCTGGATAACACAGGACAAACTGAGTGGACACAAAGCCACCATGCTGGTTAAGGATCCATCAGTCTATGGAAGAGCAGCTCGTGCTGGCTAAGGGTGGCTGGGAAAAGACCCTGTTCCCAAGGAAGCTAAAGGAAAGGAAACTCCAGGTGATCTGGTGCTGTACCCACCAACATCCACTGCAAGAGGTATCTGTTGGCTCAAGAGATGCACCATTGATTTGGGCAATAACTACAATTAGTCCATCTTCCCTCCTTGACAATAAGAGACCCAAGTGTCTCAGATTCACTAAAGGGGATTTCTCTCCAACTGTCCCTTTCAGAACACCTGTGAAAAGAACAGCCTTAAGAGCAATCAGCATCTTATTCTCCGTGGTCTCTGTGCTCTCCTGTCCCCGCTTTAGCTCTAGCAGAGTACGACCCAGCAAATTGTGAAGGGCAAGGGACAGGAGGGAGCGCCAGGAAGCTTGTGCCCTCTCACCCCCTTCATCCACTCCTGGGAAAGTGACACTGGACCATGCTTAGTGACGGTGTTAATTCCACACAGAGCAGCAAGCTCATGAATTAAAATAGCAGGAACTGATAGTACTCACAGGTCTCAGAAAAGAAAGGTGACATAGAACTGGCTTGTTCATCTTTTCCATGACAGGAAAAGTTTTCAACCCCTGTTACCAGCATAAACATTGTCTGCTCCCATCACGCTTTGCAACTTGCCACACTGCACATCAGGACCACAACAAATAAGGAGAGCCAGAGTGCTACTTTTGCCTTCCACAGAAAAAGCTCAAAATGCAACCAAAGCCAACTCTGTTGTTTTTTGTAGGCTCCAAAGCATCCAGCTGCTCAGTCTATTGTGTCACAGCCCATAGATGTCTCAGCCTTCTAAGTAAAGCAGGCTGGTCACCCAGAGCCAGCTGCTGCAGGGACGGCAGGACAGGTGGCCTGGCCAGGGCCAGGAGCCCTGGGCCAGTGGCAGCCGCAGTGCTAAGGGCAGCTGTCAGCCAGAAAACATTCTCCCTTTTGGATCCAAATCCATTAACAGCTGAGTAAAGAGGCAAGGAGGAGGAAGGACAACCAGCTCTTACAAATACATACACAGCATTGTTTTCAGCTCCCATTTCTCAATTACTTGTCTGCTTTATGGCCATTAGCACAAGAGGTGAGCTGTAGAAAGCAATTAGTTTGTCTTTCAGCTTCTTATGAATACACACCAAACCAGAGCTTGGATCAAGGACATCCCCAGGAAGTGCTGGAAAACACGTTCAAATCTTTGTGAAGAATTGTTTTTACAGGACATAGGTGGTTCTGGAAATCACAAGCAAAGGGTACTGAAGTGTAACAAGTTTTTGAAAGGTCAGCAGAAAATTCCTATGGCATTTTAGACACCCACAATAAATGTTTATAACATTATAATGTTAATCACAAATACCTTAAAGAAGCCTTACTGGAAATCACAAGTGAATCCTAGGGACTTTGATTTAAACTGGAATCTTGCTGTTTCAAATCTTGCTGCAGAAAGGTTCATAATCCTGAAAACAACAGAAAGGACACAGCAATGAAGTATATGTAAGAATAAGATCCATCGGGGGAATGAAATAAATCTGATTTAGTAAAACCAGGATGGGATAGGATGTCAGCCTTGGCTTCAATGATTCTGAGCTGTCCCTCAGATAGGATCTGTAGTTGAGGAGCTGTACTCTAAAATTAAACAATGACTTAAGCTAGATTTTTTTAAGGATCAAATTCTTTGTATTCTTCTCATTACAAGCTGACTCAAACAGCCTTGTCTGTAGGGACTGCAGAGTTACTTTTGGGGTGTTATGCCTTTGGCCGAATCACTACAGTTTGCCTCTTTCCTGCAAGTGAAGGTTTTCCAGGGAGAAATAGCATTTGCAGTAACGAGCCATCCCTGGGGCCCCAACAGCACAAAACCTTAGTTCACTGTAACACATCAGCTATTCCAGATTTCCTTCTAACCTACATTACACACAGGTGGAGGTTTCATCAGCTGTAATTTCACTTCATGCAGAAGGTGATTGTCCCTCATGCACACAGCATCAGCACAGTGGCCCAGCAGCCCCCAGCTGGGCTCCAGCTTTAAAGGCTGAGTGAGGGCTCCAACCCTAATTGCAGGTATCAGGTATTTGTGTGTACAGATGTGGTGCACAATTGCCCTGAAGCTGGTGTAGATATATATATATATATATATATATATATATGTGCAGCTTGGAAATATACCACCAAAAGCTGAGGTTTGATAAAAACTTTGCTGTCAAAACAGGAAAGCAGGAGAATATACAGGCAGAAATACAATTTCAAATGACAAGTAATGCATGTTTGTTTTACAGATATCAGTTATCTACATGGGCCTTAAAAAACACTCATACAGAATAAAGCAGGGATGTCCCATTGATTTCCTTTCCACTAAAAGACAGCTTAAAACAGCAGCTTTGGTGATTTGACTTCCAGACTTTCTCAGGTTATGATGTAAGAAGACAAAAGACATCTATGACAGGCATCCTAGTTCCTGCCTCTCCTCCTCTCTGTACTCTGTCCCTCTCTCCATCAAGAGGTTCCTTTTCCTTTTCTCTCGACTTCCTGTTAGTGCCAGTCCTGGTTTTCCTCCCAGATGGCAAACATCCATCTCCTGGCTGCAGTCACTTGCAGGAAACAGCAAGCCTGCTGCCTCGCTCTGCACAGCACTGAAACAAGCGACACAAGACTAAGCTTCACCGTAACCACAAATGCACCTAATCCACCGAAAAGTGTGGAACCAAGCTTGCAGGGCACGCCGCTTAAAGAAGTCTCAGACCTGGGAGTAAAACACAGAGCACCAGCTTTAGGCATACGTGTGACATGGCAGATGGAGGCTGTTCGTTCCGTGGGCTAGAGGCACATGAACACAGAACCAGGGTTAGATCCAGTATTAGCAGCTGATCATTGTCACAATGGGAGAGATTTATCTGGTAGCACCAAATATTGAAGTCTTTACATAGTGTGCCACATGCTCAATAAACCCAAGATCAGGAGACACAGGCACACCCGAAGAGATGACAAATAAAGAGACAGAGTTACAAAGACATCTTCAACTCCCACCATGAGACCTAGACCCAGGATGGAGGCTCAGAAGTGCTCTGTTCTACGTGCCCCCCAGTCATCACTCCCCACTTCCTCTGAGGGGTTCTCACCTCAGTAACCAGCACCCACTGGAACGAGTCAGGATCTCTCTTGTCAGGCCATGGCAAAGGCCAGCAGAGCGCACCATGTCCAAAGCCACAAACCTGAAGTTATTTGAAGACACAAACACATAAGGAAAAAGCTCTGGTTTAAAACATGGGTTATAAAAGCCAAGCAGCTGTGCCTAGTACTGTGATCAAATGCCATCCTTATTCCATCAGAGCTTAAAATAGGCTGGGTAACAAGGCAAACAACTGTAAGAATCCCGAGCTGCTGCCAGTGGACACACAGCAGGCAGTGGCACCATGCTGGCCCTCCTCGCTTCCAGCGCCATGGTGTTTGTTCAAGGAAAGCCTCCATTATGCCTCAGGAACACACTGAGCTGACTGTTGATACAGCCAGCGAGGAAGCTCACTGGCAAACTACCCACTGTAGAGGCTCCACAGGCCCCATGCTGAAGCCAGCTGGCTCCACCACTACAGGGTGAGCACGGTCAGATCTCGAGAGCACCTTCAGCTGTCAGGACGTGGGTAGGAGTGCTCTTATTCCATTTACCCAGTCCATAGGACAAAAACTGGGCACATGGTCCATCGTCCTCCCAGATCCTCCCAATCCCCTCTGCCCAGCACAGGTTATTTCTCACATTTTAGCTGCTGCCTGCATAGGCTTTGTTAGGGTTGGAGGCTGAGGCTTTGTACCAAGCCCCAGGAGTTCAGTACATTCTGTTCAGAGAGCCAAAGGCACTGAATAACCACTTACATGTGCATTTGCCTAAACGTAGCCTAAACATACTGCAAGCAAATAGCAGGAATAGGTTTAGCACTCAAGAGGCACAATTAAAAGCAAAAAACACCCATCGATAATGTAGTACTTTAACAAAAAGACCAGAAAAAGCCAGTAAGAATCAGAGTCATTGAAATGGTATTTTTGCACTGCAGCAAAACCCAAAGAATATAAAGTTCAAGATGTATGCCAAGAACCTTAAAGCCTATTTTTAACCATTCAGTACATTTTATCTATAGATAAGCTGCTAAATACCATTTCTGGGGTTTAGATTTTTTGCTACAAGAGGGATGGCAGAGGTAGCCAGCCTCCCAGCAGAGCTGCTGCATTATGAATCACATCATGCTCACCAGGGGAATTGGGGCTGGAGTGCCGAGGGTGGGCTCGAGAGAGCCAAGAGGCTCGGGGTGCTATTCCTGGCGGCGCCAGCGATTCGCCGCGTGACCTTGCGAAAGTGACTTAATCACTGCATGGATCGCCTTCCCAGGCTGTGGCTGTCAAACCGCAGTGCTGCAAACACCCCGGGGCCTGGCCGCCTTAGGAAAGGCACTAACAGAATGAGACTATCTGAAAAAGAAACGACATAATGCAATGCACGAGGGTGCAGTCGCAGCGCCGATTTCAAAGGCAGCTTGGACTGTGTTTGGAACAAAGGCTCTTACTCAAGTAGTAAAAGACACTGTTAAAAAAGGAGCACCGTCTCCTTACAGTTATTTTATCCCTCTGGGCATGGGACGAAGCAGATGTTACTGTGTCTGAACGCTGCTACACCTCATGAGATTGAACCCCACAACCGTCTGTGCACATCCTCTGTCCAGGCAGGGCGAGCTGTTCGGTGAGGAGCTGGTTATAGAACACTCCAGGGACAGCCCCTGCCGCGGGATCTGCGCTGTGCAGCAGCGCGATGACTGCAGCTCCGCCTGCGAACAGCACAGGGTGCAGCCCCCCGGCGCTGAGGGGTCCCGCTCGGCCCTGCCGGCGGCTGGCCCTGCCGGCTGCTCGCCCTGCCGGCCGCTCGGCCCGGGCTCAGCGGCTCGGGGGGCCCGCGGGGCCCGCCCTGCCCGCGGCTCCAGCCGGCCCGGGGCACGGCGGGGCGGCAGCGGGGCTGTCTCGGCACGGGGATTTCACCAGACAGCACGTCACTCGATCCGGCACACCCCGCAGTCGTCCCTGTGCCAGAGGCGAGCACCAGCCTCCGTGAGGAAGCGCCCGAAGGGAGCTGGAACTCCGTTCCTGGGCCGTGCAGTGCCGGGCGGTCCCTGCGGCTGAGCACTCCTTCGTGACTGACGGAGCACAGTCTGTTATCATGGCCAAGCCCGAGCCATCCCAATCGAACAACAGGCACCGCTCGCAGCTTCTGCCCAGTTGCACGGGATCGTTTCGGCTGCTGCCCGAAGCCAAGATCCAGCTCTGAGTGACCCCAGGGAGCCATTAGTGCTGCCACAGGATTTAATTCCTCTGTAATAGAAGGCACAGCTTACCCCCACATCCACGTTTTAGGAGCAAAACACACCTGGAAACTCCCTATTTGATCTTACAGGTCTTTCCCTGTCTGTGAGACTGCTCTGCCTGGCATGTAGGCCTCAGTCTCCCTTGCAATAAATGGGAGTTTCCACAGAAGAGAAACCAGAATCATCATCTGCTGTGTTCTGGGGTGGGAGGTTTGGTTGTTTTTTATTTACATTCAAGAACCCATTGTTATCAGTTACGCATGTTTGTAACAAAGCCCTTTTCCAAAATACTTCCAGCCGTGGCAGCAGAGAACACAGTCGCTGTCCGATTACCACATCCAAAGCTCAGGCAGATCCTACATTGCATCCTGCAGCCTGGTTTCACAGCTCCACCTCAACATGCCACTGCATGCTTTATTGGAACAAACTACCTCCTCTTTCTGTGCACTGCACGATCTCACACTTGCTGATTTCACTCCTTCTAGGTTAGCTGTGCCTTTGCTGAGCAGAAATATTGCTATTCCAAGGAAAGGAACAGTGACAAGTCACTCCAGACAGGTCATTGTTAGCAGCCATGACTGCTAACACATGGCACAGCAAGGCTGCTGAGCAGGGACTGTCATTCTCATTTTACAGATAGGAAAATAAACCCCTTATGAAGGCAAGGACAAAAACTGGCACTTTCCAGGTGACCAGATTAGCTGCTTTTGAATACCAGTCATTACTAGTGTTTTCTCTCCATTTGCCACGTTAATCCCAGGGAGCATGTCAGTGACTCTCCCCGCTCTGCCCCCAAACAGCTGCAGATCTTCATCTCACCCCTTGATCAGTCACCAAACATCCTGTTACTGGACACCTTCTCTGACAAATCAACTGCACGATTAACACCATTTCAATAAACTCAGGGTAATTCTGTACCTCAACCTCACAGACTGAAGTCCTCTCCTGATTCTCCAGAGGGCTTTGTGTGCCTCACAGTCACATATTACACCGGTTCCATCACCGCAATCTCTCTTCATTGCCAAAAAAACACGTGTTTATAAAGCCCCAAAACTGCACAGATTACAGAAAACCTAATGTAGAGAAAAAATTTGTGCCACTGGGTTGGCATGCTTGACAGGATTCTGCTCCTGGCACAGAGCAGGGACATGCCAGGGAGCTGGTACGGGTTTTGGGGCCAGCCTGCCTGAAGCAGCTGCCACAGTGAGCTACAGCATGACCCTAAAGCACAGAAAATCTCTGCACTGCTGTCCTTGGCACTGGGTGCAAGGCAGCTCACCCCTCTGCCAAACACTCTCAACTAGAAGACTTAACCTTGGGGTGAAGACTTCTGGTGATGATCAATGAGCAAAGGAGAGGCTGAGACAAGGGCTCAAATGCTTCTGGCTCACACAACTCAATTCTTGCCACCACACACAAACCCAGTTTTAGTTTTGCTGCCTCTCCCATTTAGAGCGGTCTCCTTGACAAGCACATGCTGTGGTTCCTGCAATCCCACAGTAACCTTGGCTGTTAGTTCTCTATCTACACATGGATTCCAACCTATTCAGCCAGAAGCAGAGATTTTTTCCTAGGATTTTCTAAATCTTTTAATCTTCTATTTCTGAAATCTGGAATTCTACTTTTTAAAGTTCATATTCATGAAGGGAGATTGAAGTGACCAAACTGCTGGTACTAGGGAGAGAAAAAGTGCTATTTTTCATTCTTCAGTTGCAGTTCATGGCATCTCATTTCACAGTCTCCAGCCAGGGAAAAGCTTACATAAGAGTTAATGCAGAGATTGAAGTGACTTACAGAACATTTCACTAACAGAAAAACGCCCTGCAGAAACTGGGAAGGAACAGGATTTGTCTACAGTGCTCTGCTGGGGAGACAGACAGGGACTGGTATAATCTCAAGATTTGCCAGTATTAAACATCACTTAATACCAGAGAGACTTGGACATGATGGAGAGTCTAATGAAGAGGCACAAGGTTGATGAAAGGATAGAAGCACTTGACATACAGGGAGAGGCTGGGGGAACTGAGAGCATGCTTTGAAAAGAAGAGCTGGACTAAAGGATTTCTTGAAGTCCCAGCCTCAGTTGTCCTTCAGTTCTGTGAGAAATAGGGAGAATGTGATTTGTTTAGTCTAGAAGGAGAAAGCTGAATGGGCATAACAGATTCCTTTGCAGACAGCAATCCAGGTTTCTTCTTCCCAGTACAGATCAAGGAGTAACAGGCTACCTTTGGGGAATGAAGACGTAGGCTGAGTTTCTACAGGTAGTGCTGGAGCAGACCATGGAATGACATCAGTAGCCGATTTAAAGAAGAAAGCAGGTGAAGTGCCATCAGAACAACTGAGGTATTGCCAATCCTGCTTCAGAGGGGACCTGACTTTGCACCATATTTCACTGATTTAAAAGACACTTGGAACAGCCCTACCTGCTGCCAGGGCTTTGCCTCACACCTGTCTCTCCGGTTTATAGCACTGCCAGGCCACAATTGTTCCACCAGCATTTGCCATGCCAAGAATCTGTCTCAAGTGGAAGTATTTAGATTTGTGAAAAACAAATCGGGTAGTTTCAAGAACAGGGAACAAGATAGTGCTTTATTTAGAAAAATATTAACCACTGTAGCCTCAGCAGAGGGTTTGGCAGATGAGGAACCAGCAAGCCACAGAGAAACAAAACCCAGAGAGCAAGTACTGCAGAACAACTGTACTGCACACACAATGCAAACTCTGCCCTAAGGAATTATGTCAGAACAAGGTTAATTATTTCTATTGGACTAATACTTTCCATTTAATTTATTTTTATAAATCAATCTGCATAATGTACACTGGCATCCTTTATGTTTCAATTTTGCTTACAGTAATAAAACTAACTCTGCAAATCATCCCTGGCTACATGTTATTTTTATATCCAAGAGCACCAAATGCTAAAAGCTTGGCAGCATAGATCTGACTAAGAGAGAGAAAAAGCATTCATTCTACTTCCCAAACATAGCATAATAAGACCATGCTCCACAGCCTGATTTTAAAGCAGTGGGATGCAAATGACTCAGCCTACGTTAAAATTAGAGGTATGATGAGATTTTGAGACTGCGAGAGAAGTACTGAATTAAATGCTTTTTCACTTGACTCAAATAGGCTTTTTTTTATTAGTGCCTGGTAAAGGAAATACTAGCAACTTTAAAAGTCTGTGAACCAGTCAAGCCAACAAGGTGTTTCACGAAGCTGTGAGTGTGACCTGCCACTGTCAGCACTGCAGGAAAGCCTGTGATGCCAGAGCACAAGAGCTGCACGGGGCGGGTGCTGTGGCTCTGGCCCCCTGTGACAGTGTGGTGTGGCACCCCCAGCCCCCAGTGCTGGCACAGAGGATGAGGCGAGGCCGGGATAAAGGGGAAGGGGCAGCACGGTGCCACACACGTGCCTGCTGGCAGCGATACCCAGGGCTCCTGCCCACAGTCTCCTTCGGCTCCTCCAGCCCATTTACTGGGACGTTCAGGGTGCTTTCCCCAAGCCCCTCTTCCTCCCAGCACCGGGAAGTGCCACAGCCCCGCTCCCAGCACAGCGGGGAGAGCGGGTGGGCAGCGAGGGCCCCTCTCCCACTCCCTGCAGCAGCAGCAGCAGCAGCGGCACCGGCACAACCAACGCCTTCCTCGAGTCAAACACCGACACTGCTCGCACAGCCAGGAGGCACCTGGCTCAGAGCCACCCAAACACGGTTTTCTGTATCTTCTAGTGCTTCTCTTATAATGAATACCTACTCAACCTCACCCCATATATATATATATATGAATGTATGTACACACACACATAGATATTTTTAACATATGTAAAGAAATTTAAAGAACCCCAACATTTTAAATACTAGATTAAAAAAAGCATTAACTGGAACATTTCACTAGTCCAAATGACCAAATCAAAACATTCCCATTCCCCTCCTCCCAGATACACTACTTACAGCCAGCAGGAATGTGTCACAGCTCAGCATTCCAGCCCACTGCCTCCCCAGGCTTTTCCTTTCTCCTGCAGGAAATCCTCCAGCTGGCCTTGCTTTGTTCTGTAGCATATTTTAAATTCAGCTTCTTTGCATCAATTGAATTCAGGTGCAGCAGGAACTTGGTACCTGCACATGAGTGTTGTTCCTCATGAGATTTCCTTACGTTCAATTTCCTTACAAGCAAATTAGAAGAAAAGAAAAAAAAAAAAGAAGGGAATGATTCTTTCAGTAATTTTCTGCCTTTCTGCAATTCTCAAAGGCAGAATTGCATTCTCAAAGAAGTGTGAGAAACCAATTACCACCGAAGGACTGTGCATCTCCCAACATGGATTAACCAAGTCCTGCTTGGGTTCATGATGAACGGTTTGCTCAAATAAGTGTTGCAGACTTCTCCTTAACAAGAGAATTCTTGAATTCCTCAAACCTTTATGTTTAGAAGCAAAATTATTTACAGGTTGGTCGTCATAAAACACTCTGGGCCAGACGTTATCCTGGACATTGATTCTGTGGAGACTCAAGCAAATGCATATGATGTCTCTCTCAAGTTTTCTCGGGGAAGGGCCGTGCCCACAATGGGCACTGGGTTTGGAGGTGTAAGGGGCTGAATGCTGAGGGCAGAACCCTTGGGGCCTGTTCCTCCACACAGCCATGGCTGTGACGCAGCAGCACAGGGACAGGAAGGAGTCATGGATTATGGGTGAGGAAAACCAAACCCTCAGTTTGGTGCAGGTAGAGCTGGAGGGCATGCATCACTCTTGTTTCAGAAGCAGCACCCTTAGCCTGGGGCTGAAAGAAGCAAAATAGGGAGTAAGGTAGGTCACTTGCCAGGCAGATCATCCTCAGTTGGGTTTGGTTTGGTTTGGTTTGGTTTGTTTGTTGTGGGTTTTTTGATGCTTGACAGCTATTACCACTAAATAGCAGAACCTGTGACAATAGAGAGAGAACATAATTGCTTTGCTCTGAGAACATGAGCAGCATTTTCACCAAACAAGACTGGACTTGTTGGGTTATTTTAATTCTTGGCATAGCTGGGCATGTCTTATCTCCAGCTCGGAAAAAAAGGAAATGCATAATGAAGACAGTCAGTTGTCTTGTAGGTAACTGCACACAATTCCCACCACAGGACAGGATTGTTGGCAAGACATGGTATCAGTATAGGGAAACTTAATACTGCCAGCTGAATAGATCTGTCACATTTCTTTCTGCAAAATATTATGTCTACTGCTACTAGAAATAGCACAGCTGAGTGATAAAATTTAAAAAAATGTGAGAAATATTTTCTCTATTTTCAAGTCTATTTGCCTTGTGAATATTGACAATATTTTGTTTTATCAGAGTCATGTTTTATGCCCACAGGGCCAGAACTTCTCCAACCCCTACACCCACGTTCTCATCAACAGCAGCAGAGCTTAAACAGATTCTGCAGCAGCTCATATAGGACCAAGAAAGTAGGCTTGTTGGGTGCATTTATCTAAAAAGAAATAGGAATAAAATAACCTTATACAAGAATATTGCCCTTAAAACACTGAAACACGCTCTTTAATATCTGCTGACTGAGGCCTGGTCCTACAGAGACTGAAAGGATTTCACATTGCCAGAACCTTCCTTCCATGAATAGCCACTGATTTCATGTACTACTTTAGGATCAGGTCTTAGAGGACACTATTTTTAACTACATGAAGAACAAGCATGTCTAAAACACCTTAAACCCTCCAGCTGAGGCTATATATATTTTAAAGCCATTCTAATATGTGCATAATTAATGTGAATATTACTCAGCAAAGGGTAAACAGCAAGTGCTGCAGTAACTCTAATGTCACTAATTTCATTACTCTACTGAAATATGCTACTGTAAATGAACTAGTACACTATGAAGTGTTATAAATAATTAAAACTAAAACTGCAACTAACAAAATGAATGAACCAAGAACATTCTGTAACCCCGTGTTCCTACCCAACTTCATAATTTTCTAATTTGAGTAAAACACTCTATCTGCGTCTGTCTGAGCACAGAAAGGAATTTGTTCATAGAATTTGCTAATTTGGAAAGAACTTTGGTTGGAAAAAAGTTGAAATGTTAAAACCTGTACACTATGACAGAACATCAATACACACACCACAAAACATAAACTGCTCCTCTGTCACCCTTCCCAGGCACCCAGGTGAAGCCACAGCAGTGGGGACAATCCAAACCAAGCTGCTGCTGACGTTGGGACATCAAGTCCTAAGAAGGAACACATCCTACCTGGTCTCAGAGGATGGGGACAGAGATGGACTTCTCCAGTCATCCCAGCTGACACAGCTTGATGCTGAAGGAGGTGAGCAGGAAGGAACTCTGTCTCCCCAGCCAGGCTCTCCCACAGCAATATCTGCCGTGCTGCACCATGGGCAAGGCTGGATGCTGAGTGCAAGGCTGAGGCAGAAGAAGTAGGTTCTACTTCGGCATGTGAAGTTGGAGCAGTTCAGCTTTTGAGATCTAGAGAGGAGAAGAGACAGATGAACAGCATACCAGTGATATAACTGTATCTTTTAGAGAGATTTTTAAAGCAGATGAAAGGTGCTTTTGTGCAACTTGTTAAACTGCTGCTCCATTCCTCCAGTCAATAGCAAGTGTCAAATTGTTTTTGCAGAAGTTTTCTGCTTTGTTTTGCTTTTGAATTTTCATTCTTTGGTTTCACTGAAATAAAAGGCCTCTTTTTTTTAGACAGACATAAAAGGGGCTGACAACTTCTGCTGCTTCGTTACCTCCAGGTGAATTCCATATTCTATATTCTGCTCCTTCACTCCTCTTGGCTTCCTGCTCTGTCTTCTCTGAAGTACCACAGAGTTTTCCACCTGCCTTTTTTTTTTTTCTTAATTTTTATTTGTTGGTGTATGTTTACAGGACAAAAAGCTTTATCAATTAATCTACTGTTTATGCTGCTAGCCCTGATGTTCACTGTAAGGGAGCACCATCCCTGCGAATGAGCCGGGGCCAGACCCTGCACAGCTGCCAGCAGGTGCAGCCCCGTCCCCCTCCAGAGCAGCAGGTGGGATGCTGAGGGGGGTTAGCCCCAGGATGAACTCTCAGGGAGAAATATCCATGAGGAGAGAGCTCTGACCTTGCTTCTGGAGCCTGCAGGAAGGGGGTTCCTACATCTCTGTAGCCCACCACAGCACAGAAGGGTTCTTAGTGCCACTGGCTTAGGTGGGTCCATGGGCCCTCCTGGGCTGCTGGCTGGCTGCTGGGCTGCATCCACCTCTCACTAGTGGGAAAGAGGGGAGGCAGAAGGGAAAAGCCTCACCTATCTGCATAAGCCTGAGTTGTGCAGTTACACTGCAAATCACTCAGGACAAAAATCCTCCTGCCCCACAGTGCAAGGGAGTTCCCCCTGGCAGAGCTGGGGCAGGCACAGCAGGTGAGAACGGCCCAGGGGAGAAGCTCGTCTGGAACTGCCCTCTGACAGTGAGAGAAAAGATCCTCCATCCATCTGTCCTGCCCACCCTGGCTATGGCAACCTCTGTGGGAAGCCAAGCAGGGGACTGACAGCCCGTTCTAGTACAGACAGCCCACAGGCCACCCCAGGGGGGCTCAGGACCATATGAGGAGCTTTGTCAGGCACTGAGCAATGCTGGAAAGAACAGGATGCTCCTGCAGGGATGCACTTCTCTGGGAGATCTCAACTTCTGGACAAAGTTGTGCAGCTGAGAGCAGAAGCCTGTAATACCACCCTGCCCTGGATGAGGACACCAGTGCTGGGTATAAGCAGGGATGTTCATAATTCTCACTTTTTTACAATAAAGACCGATTAATCCTGTCCTCGCTAATCTGCCGTGACAGAACAGCTGACCTAAGATTCCTCCAAGCTGCAATGTGTGTTTACAGCTGCAGGAGCCAGAGGTTGTTAAGCACAGAGTTAACTCCCACAGACCAACTATTTCCTTCTTTTTTTTAATAACTATTTCTTTAAGCAAGTGTCTCCTGGTATTTTAAAAATTCATTTTAATCAATTTAAAATTAATAACGAAGGAGCAAAATCCTTAGGGCCTGAAAGCTCCAATCTCTGCCAGGCTGGAAGTGATGAGTCAGCTCCAGCACGGCCGCCATGGAGCAGCTGAGGGCCGCCCAGAGAGCTGAATTAGGTCACTCGGTTTGCTATTCATGGAGTGGTGGCTGTCCCTGCCATTGGATGGTTCCCTCTTTCTGAGGAGAGCTGCGGCACTGCGAGGCACTGCTGTGGCACCTCGCTGCTGCTGCTGCTCCATCCATGGGTACTTATCGGGCAGGAGCACAATGGAGCCTCTCCAAGAGGAGGGAAAGGACAGTGGCAGCAGGACACAGCACACACAGGGCCCTCCCTCTCCCGCAGTGCTGCACGGCATCTCCTCAGACTCCTGCCCTGATCACTAACCCGTGCTCTGCTTGGGCCAGGAACGGGAACAGCAGTGTCCACAGCCAGTCCTCCAGCTCCCGCCTCCACCCAAACCACAACTTACGCTCAGGCTCGGCTCTGCTCACTTCCCAAGGGAACATGTGCTCCCAGGGTGCCAGAGCAGAGCCACTGTGCTCCCTCACTAATTACCTGTTTCTAATTGCAGTGCCACAGTCCCAGCAGGAAGCTCCTATGGCAGCTCCCCAGGGGGATTAACATTGAGCCTTCGCTTTGTACACTGATGCAGCACATGAAGAAAAGCAGTTCCCACCTCGTGTGCCATGGGAGCCATGCCAGTGGGTTACCTGTGTGTCTGTGGGTCGCCGTGGCACTGGGATGCCGGCACGCAGCAAGGCCAGCCTGGGCGGCAGTGGGAGGCTGCATTCACGGGCTGTAGGAAAGAAGAAATGTGCAGTATCAAACACTACATTTTCAAAGCTTTTCTTTCCAATCTCTTTCCATTTGTTCAGTATTTTTAAGGGTAATACATGGAGGGAAAATGAAGTGACTGACAACAGATGATTCTGAATTGTTGGCTTTGGTAGCACGAAGGGAAAATGCAAGAGCGCTGCAAACAGCAGCACATTTCCAGCATATCTAACTTTCAGCAATTTCTGCCATGGGCCTGAGAGTATATTAAAGGGTGCTAGTGATTATAAAGCATGTACTAGATCAAGGAGATTCTCCTGCAATATTTTAATTTTCACTTAAATTAAATTTACATTATAATTTACACCACTCTGCTTACAAACAGGGAAAGAGGCACTGCAATTGTAGCAGCAGGCATGCATACCTTCATTTATTCTTCCCTATTTTTAACTTGTGGTTAAACTTAACAGACTTCCAAGTGCAAGTAGATTGAAGCTCCATCTAGTGCCAGGGGCCGGGAAGTTACTGAGAGATTTGCACTCCAAAAATAGCAAACGTGCTCACAAAACTATGGAGGAGCAGCAGACAGCCTGGAATCCCAGGGCTGTCCCACGCAGTCGACAATGCTGTGGAAATGCTGTTACAGTGTATAAGGGCTTCATGTTAAAGCTGCTGTACCTTGGGCCAAGCAGAGCCTGGACTGGGGCACAGCCCCCCAGACACCTCTGCCATGGTGAGAGGGGTCCCTTGTTCCCCACCATGCTCCACCACCAACACGCCCTGCACGGCTCCTCTCGCAGCATCCACGGATCCGGGCCCTCCTGCTGCATCCCAGTTCACCCAGCTAACCCCCAGCCAAAGCTCTCAGTGGCTCTGAAATGCCCTTGTTGTTAAATACACAGCTGGAGCACCTGCCAGCAGGTCACCACCACCTCTTGCACAGACACCTCCTAATGGTAGCACAGAAAATGGGTATCTATCGCCAACACACAAAGCATCTAGCTGGTGCTAATGTTCCCTTCCTCTCTTTTTCTGCATTTTTTTTGCAATGACACCTGCTAGAACTGTACCTGTTTCTTAATGTTTCCTTTCACCCATACCAGAGTGACTGCTCTACAGTTGCACAGTATTAGCCTTTCAGACTGAATACACGTCTTCTAAGCACATAATTCATGTATTCAAAAATATTTCTTTCGTCATCTTTTGTGATTATGCAGAACAACTTTGAGCAGAATAACGTTCATATGTTTTGTTTCTCAAAAACACGGTATTTGACTGGATGCAATGGAGAGAAAAGCCCTGCCGCTATGGCAGAAATAATTCTATCAGTGCTGAAACTACGTAGTACTTCAACTATCAAAGATTCACACCAAAATATTCTAAGTATTAAATACACTGGTGCTTCTTTGACAAGCTAACTGCAGGTGAGTTGACTGCTGCTCAGAGTTAGGACGGAGTTTTTTGCGGTTAAAGAAAAATTTAGTATCAAATTAAAAAAATTGCAAAAAACCCCACATTTAGCCATTCATGCTTCATTCAAACAATAATATTCATTTGCAATTTTATAGAGCATTATAAGATTCGAACTGTATAAATTCTTTGAGAAAATATGTTTTTAGGATATATTATTTTAGACATACATTTAGATATACATTTAGAACATATTCAGAATTATTATTAAATGCTTTTGCAGAGAGTGAATATTTTGGGTAGAAATTGTGTATCACAGATAAATTTATGTATCTATGATCCAAAAATCCTGTGGATTTTTAACAAGTAACAAGCATTAACAGCGAAATTATTAGCGACCAGAGGAGGAAACAGCACCCAGACAAACATATTTACAGATATGTCAGTGAAAGCAAGCTGAATGAAGGAAATAACGCCCTGAACAAAGCCCCAGAGCTCCCCGGCTGAACCACGTGGGCGACGGAAGGCGCAGCGGAAAGCCATGCGGGAACAATCCCCTACAGACACGGAGCTGGGAACACAGCCGGGCTGGGAGCACTCCCCAGGACGTGGCCGGGTGGGGGCCCGTGGGAGGGGTCCCCCCGTCCCTGCTGTGCACCATAACACGACAGGAGCTAAACTTTGGGGTTTCTTTCTTAATGCACGCTCGCACAGTCCAGAAAGTCAGATCACCTATTAAATAAGTAAAATTGTATCCACCAGTAACTGTAAGAGAGAAAAAGCCAAGCAGATGAAGCCTGAGCAAGGTTAAATGTTCTCCTTCATCTCCCATCATTTCTTGCTGCGGTCAGTGAAGTGCAGAGAGATCACAGGTTCACACTTCACACCACAATAAGGCTGTTGCCTGTGTTACTGCACTGCACAAATATCTGCAGAAAAAATGACTCTGTCAAGATCCTGTGCTTGCTCTGCTCCATTTTCCACCTTTCTGCTTTCTCTCCCTCTAACTCTGTGCTTCACCACCCCTCTTATTGCATTTCTTAGCCTCAGTTTTGGCTTTTCAGATTAACTTCCACACCATCTTTCACCCACTGCAACAGTCACTTTCCAGAGGCACGTGATGAGTCCCCATGAGCTCGGGCAAAAAAATGTAAAGACTTTGGACTGATGATGCTCCCACCTTCCCTACATTGTGTCAAGCTATCTACAAACTTACTGAATTTCACAGTACATACCCTTGTTTCATAACTGAAAAGTTAACAGTTACCTGTTTGGGTTCTGTTTGCTTGATTTAAAGCAAAACAAAATGCTGCAGGCCCTAAGCACACGGAGGAGTCCGACTATTTGGTAACTGTGAAAGCATAGAAAGCTGGGTCATACGGACATAATTCTGCACTTCTCACTCCTGTAGGGACTCACATCAAAACACCATTATGAACCGGAGATTACCTGTCCAAGTAAGAATTTACATCTTAATTTCTAGGATTAACGTTTATTTTTTGTTGGCCATCAACGAAAATTTACCTTAGAAGTCCTAAAGCCGAGCAAAGTTCCATGACTTCAGACATCTTTTTTAGTGCTTTGGCCAGTCTGTAAACCACATGCACAAAGAACTGTCCTTCCTCATGTTTTAAGTACTTCTGAAAGCCACTGAAATGGAAGCAGCTTCATGCCCTTATCTGACATAGCCATATCCCTACTCTTGCACCTAATTTTCAGAGTTACATTTTAGGTTTGTTCTGTTTGAACTTGATGGTCAAACAGGGGATAAGGAAGGCAAACTCCTCAGAACTGCTTACGTAACTGATCCTTAGGAAGACAATGATTTTGCTGAGCTATCTGTATTGACCATACCGGGCCAAACTCCTCCACAGAGACAAAACTCTCATCCACACATGGAGTTACACCACTGTTCTAAATAACGTAAGACGCAGCAGAAAAGCATCCTCTTTCCAGAACTTTCTGGATGGTTCAGGCACAGCTGTACAGGGCTCTCTGCAGTGCAGCCACAGCTATGCTGGCATGGGACAGGACCTTCTTCATGCACAGGTGTAGCTGTGCAACAGAACTCTGCACTAAGGTCTTAATGATTGCTTCAGTTTGTATTACTGTATTTTTTAAACCTAGCTTCAAGTTTTCCACTCATTAATACGTCATTTTTACAATTTGTTTCTAGCTAACAGTCATCCCAGCCTTTAGTGGCTTCCTGGGTTTTCAGCCCAGTCCCTCAGGTAGCCGTGGAAGGACCTGGCACAGCTCATCCCCTTACAAGGCTGACACAGATGGCTCCTAGCTGTCACCAGCTGACTTGGGGCACTTGTAAATCAGCGTTCCCCTCTGCACTTCCGAAAGCACTTGTGGTGAAGAGAAAGACCGCCACAGGAACTCAGTCTGGTCAGGAGGTGAAGTCACCAGAGCAGTGCCCACAGGCACCAGCTGCTGGCACCACAGCCACAGCGCATGAGCCCCGGTTCTGGGAAGTTTAACTCCACAGAAAAACCCTGCCGTGTTCTGCTGGTGGTTGCTTGCCCTCCTGTCTGTACAGAAATGCTGGTTACAGTTATTTGCAAATGGTGAAAACTGTGATGAGCTTGGTGAAAAACAGGTGGAATCTGGGACATCATAACAGTTGGACTTGGAGGTCTTTCCCAACCTAAACGATTTTATGGGAAGTAATCCTGCCTTTGGCTGTCTCACCATTCTGAGCACAGCAGCAGCTCTGGTACTTACAAGGCTTGACAGAAAACTCCAAGTTGCATTATTAACAAAATATAGCCCTCCTTCAAATTTTTGGCCAATTTCAACTTTTCTGTTACCAAGATAAAAGCTGTGAAGTTTCTCACAAAGCTATAAATAGTAAGTACACTCTGACTAAGCACAGATGGAACTTTAAAATCCTTTCAAATGATTATTTTTCTTAGATGTGATCCAACATCAGTTTCAGGCAAAGTTCTAATCCAAAGGAAAAAGACCAATAATTGTTACAAGCTGCACAAAACCCATCAAACTGTGGATTTAGTATGCAATTAAATTCCAGAAAGAACAATTACCAGGCAAAATATAGGAAGAGACTAAAATGCAAGAAATTACTATTTCACAACTATTTTTCATACAGATATAGCTTACAATCAGCCCATTTCATATGTCCATCAGTCCAGGTACTGATGTTAAAATGACCCATTACATCAATCAATTTTAAAAATTATATATACATATATATAAATCCTTCACTTAACAAATGCCTCAGATTCCAATTAAGCCTCACAACAAAAACCAAAACCCTGGAGGTCCCTGCTCTTACAATCTTTAACATACAGAGTACACCCTCATTTTCTTAAATCCAACAGACTCAAAGGAGGTGCTGCAGTAGTGTGTATACAAATAATATTATAATAATTGTATAACATAGAGCACAAACAAATAAGGCACTTAAGAGTGAAAACAGAATTAAAGAATCGTGATTTTCAGAAGCAGCACTAGTGACTGCTGAATCTGCAAATTATACAAGATACCTGGTAGCTTCATAGCATTAAATAACAGTAACCCAATTTAGACTTCACTTCCTAAATATATTACTAGAGTTATTTCACAATAGAAATAACTATTATAGAAATGACTAGAAG